GTTTTAAGTTATATACGCTTATAATAATGAGGGATTGGATTTATATAGCACTTTACAATTCCACTATTCATTCACTCTCGCATTCACACACTGGTGGAGGCAAGCTATGGTTGTAGCCACAGCTGCCTTGGGGCAGACTGGCAGAAGCGAGGCTACCATATCGCGCCATCGGCCCCTCTGGCCAACACCAGTAGGCGGTAGGGTAAAGTGTCTTGCCCAAGGACACAACGACCAGGACAGAGAACCCGGGAATCGAACCGGCGACCTTCCAGTTACAGATACGCTTCCCAACCCCCTGAGCCATGGTCGCCCCACTTATGTTTTGCATTATCAGTGCATGCTGAAAGTGAATGAGACACCCTTTTCTTTTGCTTTTAAAAGACTGCTTTCATTTTTTTCCATAATAAAATGGGAAGTATGTCAATATCTTATTTATCCATACATATTGCCTGCACTGATCTCTCCCTGTTCATATGCAGGCAGAGTTTTGCAGAATTCATGCTCTAAAGCATCAAACCTGTCATGTGATAATGCATTCTTGTTGCTATTTGAATTTTGTCTTTCAAGCACTGGGGATTAACAGAGCCTTTTTGTTTATGTTTCCTGGCCATAGATAACCAGTTTAAAAAAGAAAAAGAAAAAAACACATCCATCTAGTTCCCTGTGTGAAATAGCATGACAGTGCAAAATTAACGTGCGTGATTAATTAATAAAGGTGATTTCATGTTGCCTGTGATATTCTCAACAATGTTCAAGCCATTGAAAATTGATTTTTATACTACTTCAAAATGAGCAGAAACTTATGACTGCTTACTGAAGTGAAATAATCTATGAAATACAGGTCTGCATCATGAATGGGCTAAAGCAGCATAAACAAATCTATCTGTGTAATTATGAAAGGACAAGGGTATGTGCATCTTTATCTTTTACAGCGAGTAGATTTTTTTAAAAAAATAATTCCACAAGTAAGTCAGCAAGTACATAAGTTGCATGCCTTTCTATGCCTGTCTGCATGGATCATTTGTTATATGCCCAAGTTCAAAAAGCCTAAGCTGAGCCTCTTCCAATAATCCTGAATAACATGTAGCAGCAATTACAGCATGCCGCGGCATGGTATATTCAGTGGACATCTTGTCCTTTCCATCTCAGAGCTGTTCTGACAGATCATCCCTTGTGTCCACTCTATGGCTGACTGGTTTTAAGAAAAAGAAAGACGGTGCAAGTGAGAAAGACAGAAGAGTCAAGACAGAGATGGAGTGACATGTATTGCATGGCTACGTAAAAGCAGACACGTACTGAACCCAGATACAGACTCAACCTCATAGCTGCTCTAAGTTGTTCGAAGTCACAGAAAAGACACAAAGCAGAATCATAAACATCAGTCAAACAAAGATATGTGGACCGTGTTGTCTCAGTTGAATATACACTATAACACCTGCACATTTTCAGACATGTTTGTTGTTTGTATGGGCACAGCCAAACAAATATTACCTCACTGCAACAATAAACAACCTGTACAAAATCATTGCCTGAAGCTTAAGAGATCAACATTGTAAATTCTAAGTGCCCATTCCATTAAGATGGTAATTAGCCACAGCAAACTACAATATGGAGTCATCCTGAGGTGTGCTCTCAACATGGGTCAGCTAAGATGTTTTCCTTCTATGTGTACGTGAATGGTGGGTGTCTAACAGTAAATGCTGTGCCCGGTGCATCAGACAGGCTCCCTGGAATGTGTTATTTTAGGTTAAAAAATTCAAATTCACCACAGAACTTCTGCAGTGTTCCTGCCAAAGCTGACGCATCTCTGCTTCACTATTGTAGACCCAGACATGTTGGCAAGTCATTTGTTTTGAATTAAGTGATTTTCTGTCCGCCACTGTGCAGTGGCTGGACAGCTGATTCACAAGTGACAATGTAGGATGAGTACCAAATCCTCAGAGGCCAATCACCTCTGTACAGTTCAGTTCTTAATTTAACCCTTGCCATATACACTGAAAGAGAAAAAAAATGAATGCGTGCTCTGGGGAATCTTCTCGTTGAGAATCTGCTCGTTATAATTACATGTTATTACTTCGGCACTTACCAGCGTGCTTGTTAGTTAGAACAGAGAGAGACATATTTGTGCATGTGTTAAACTCTCTTCTGGAAAAGAGCTTCTTGTAGAACCTACATCATGACTCACGCCAGTTCTCCCAGATATCCAGCTGTAACACTTCTCATAAAAGCTGTGAATGAACTGTCTATTTCGTGTGCAGCCACATCAGTTATGAGAAACTGTCAGGATACAAGCTTAGACATTAAACCTCTTCTCAGAGCTATAAGCAGCTATAAACACAGCGTGTTTCATCTCAACTGCTGGAACAGCAATAATCGATCTGATGACAGCTAAAAAAACATGTTGTTTTTCTCTGCCCTGGAGGAACATGACAGAAACAAACCCTCTAAACAGACAGTTTATCACAAGACAGAACAAATAGCTAAAAATACAACACAAGCCATTTGCTGTATGCCATGGCAAAGTCAGAGAAAAGTAAATCCTAATGCAGTGGCTGGAAAAGTGGAGACTAGAGGTCTCCAGGGGTCCCTAAAGGGTCTCCAGGGGCCACAGCAAAATGAGAAACAGTTTAATTTCACTATTCCACTCCCTCAATAAAAGCACAGTGGGAGCATAGTGCTCTAATCCATTCTCATTAGAGGTTTTAGTCTCCCTACTGTTACACATCTAGTGCAGACAGCTATACAGCTGATTGGTCAGTTGAAGCATTGAATGAAAGAAACCATTCCTTGGAGCAAAGATAGGGACAAAGCAAGAGTGCACGATAGCTATCTACCGGGGGGGATCTCGATATTAAAAGTTTCAGGAGCTCTTCCTTTTTATATTAAGTGCCAAAGGTCTTGAGTGCTCATATAGTGTGTAGCCAGCGGAGAATAACCTTGTGAACTACGATTTGATCCATCACATCTAAATGTACTGACACAGAGCAAAATAATAATCCTTCAACCGAGGGAAGTGCTCGGAGAGATAGCCCTGTGACCCGGGTACAACTCATAAACTGCAGTGCGGCATCAGCTGTATTAATATCACACACTCGTCCCCGTGTATCCTTACACAGATGAATATTTCATTGCCAGAAACCTTCAGTGCGTGTTTTGCAAATTAAAGATGCGCTTAGAATGGCGCATCGGCTGTAATAATACATCTGCGGGGCAGTGTGGTGCATTATGATTGTGTCATATTTAAACATCTGTTTCATAACGCTAAAAAGTGCACGCTGTAGATCCACGTACCGTGGGGCATTACGACAAAGCAGACTTCGTCGTGGTTAAAATACGACTTAATTTTGGGGGGCAAAAGTTGAGACTTACTCACCCCTTTTGAACATTTTTGCAGGCCTAGGTGTTTTTCGTCTTATGTCCTCTGAGAATCATCTATTCTTATATTCCAGACTTGGAACTTGTGCCTTTTAGTTTTGAAGTTGATCCACAGCTTTCGTGGCTCGTCGTGCGAGTGTTAGCTGTCACTCCTCTGGATTTTCTTGCGATCCACTGTATTGAGTTGTAGTTGCAGGATGGCTGCCGCGGGATTGACAAATATTAACAAACAACAGTTTTCTTTTTCATAAAGTCTGGCAGATCTGGAAATGAGGCAAAAATCACCGGGAAAGCAGACCAACTAAAAGCGTCCCCCCTCTGTCCGAAATAATGTTAACTCCAATGTGAGTGATGACCGCAAACGCTCAGTACAGTCCGACACAGCCCCTTACAGCCAACTCCTTTCAAACCCGAATCACCGTGCAAGCTTCAAATCAGTTCTGGGGGGCAAGTCGACGGTGATCACAGGAAGACTCCGATTAAAAACCCCCCACAGATATTTCAATTCAAGTGGCCAATCTCAAATTCTTCTCTCGGTGCTTCGGTGCCGTTCAAATCTCACCATATTTAAAATCTCTAATTAACATAAGTTATTTGGATTCACATTTCGCCTCTGATGTCGGATTAGCCTATAAACGTAGACTCTTCAAATCCTCCTTAATAGTGTAGACTTTGATGGCGTCGCTTTTCTTAAAATCCCCCACTTTTCCGCTCTCCCCTCGTAATTATTACATTTCTGTGATCTTGTCTGTGAATATCTCTCTCTCCCTCCCTCTCTCTCTCTGCTTTCTACCTATGGTTCAGGGCTTGCTGATGCGCTCAAGGAGGGAGAAGTATGTTACCGCCTCAGCCTCCCTCCACCGGGCAGCACACTGCTCCATCGCTCTCAGTGCCTCTGCCCCTGTCAGACACACTGCTCCCTGACACCAGCGGGCTTCGTAAAACATATGAAATGACATAAGGAGAGAAAAAAAACCAAAACAACAACAAAAACTTCAATCTCCGACAATAATCTTAATCAGCATACAAAATGTCAGGAAAACCAGGTGATGTGCTATAAAAGAAACTCATTTGCTAAAGAAATTCATCCACCCAACTGTATATATTATAGATAACAGACCGATCCCCCACCCCCCCTCTCTCACTCTCACGCACACACATATACACACACGTGCACGAAGTACTCACAGATTATAATCATATGCGTGGTTTTATTTAATTTTAAATGTCAGTTTAAAGCAGTTTGGAGCTGAGATATTGAAATAATTTTCTTTGAGTATTTTTTTGTGCCTTGTATTTATTTTCTATTTATTTATATTATATCTATATGATCTATTTATATTTTCTATTGTATATTTTCTTCTATTGTGTTATTATTATTATTATTATTATTATTATTATTATTATTATTATTATTATGAAATAGGTTATAGACCATAAAATTAGTTCTATTTCATTAGATTTTATTCCCACTCCGAGTATTGGCTCTTGCTCTTTGCTATTGCTGTTTAACCTGCAGTATAGAAAAGTTTTATACACAAGTTTTCAGGTCAATTAAGTCTGGTCACCCTGTCTTCTTGTCCCGATCAGCTAAATCGGTTGCATCGGTGCTCCGCTTCTCCTCATTGTTCTCTGTAATCGATTGGTTTCGCCTTTCTGTTCCTCACACGTGTGTGTGTGTGTGTTTTGGAGGAAAAGAAAGATGGCTGCGCCCTCGAGTGAAGTGCAACTTGTTCCTGCCAAAAAGCCCCCAGGTAACATTAATTTCGTCTGTAAATTAATTCATATAGAAGAAATTCTGTTTCGTGTGAGTGTTTTGTAGACATGCGGTTTCCGCAACGAAAACAGATATGGCTATAGTACAAACAAGAAAGTGAGTAGCGCGTCCAGCTTGTATAACGTTAAGTAGATAAAAGAGGTGTTCATTATACATTTACGTGGTAAAGCATTTGTATATTAACACTAAGCATCCCATCCACGTTCACACTTGTCGATGTGACTTCCTGAGATCGCTGCGGAGTGTCTGCAGAGAAACATTTCAGATATAGAAATTTCTCTGATGCCTTGTAATGCGTTGGGTTTATAGGTGCTGCACACGGTATCAGTCTGTGAAGGTTCTCAGTCATCCAGGTCATCGTAGTCTAAGGAGTTTGGAAAGAAAAGCGTCTGGACTTCTGACGTTTCACCTTCAGAACTGAAGAAGCTTCTCGGATGAGAGGTGAAACGTCTTCAAGCAACTTAAAGAAGTCCAGACGCTTTTCTTCCCAAGCTCCTTAGACCACATGGTATCAGATTTTACCCATAGAAATAAATGTAGATAGTTAAATGTTCGGGTCAGCTGTCCGGATTTGTACTGGTCGCACTTGTGTGACTAGTGAAAGGTCTCTTAAATAAGGATAGAAATACGGCAGCAAGTTTTTGGATGTCCTCGCCTTTGTCCAACACAAGCTGAACTTCCAGCACCCGCTATGTTTGGTCTACTGCCAGCTGGAAGTATTTAGAATCATGGTTGCGAATGAATAGGCCAGAAAACTCGACTCCCATTCTTCATGTCTCCTAGGTACTGTTCACTTTTCTCTGTCCTCAATGGAAAGTGTCATGAGGTAAACTAAAGGGTGTGAAGGACTGCTTCAGTTAAATGAAATGCCTGTCACATTGACAAGAGTTACTCCTATCCACTCAATATGTTCTTCCAGCTGGAAAGTGGAACTACTGTAAATCCGGCCCTCATAATTCTTTTCTGTGACTGAAGCACAAATGTCACAATACCATTTGGCTAATACTGAGCAGGGAGTATACACTTCAAAATTCATCCTCATCCAAACAGTTTCTCTCCTTTATATTTTTCTTTTTCCATCATTCTGGTATAAGTTTGTCTTGGTTTCATTTGAACAACATATTATTTTCAGAATTGTAAAGACTCTTTTAGATGTTTTCTGGAAAAGTCTAATCTGGCCTCCCTGCTCTTTATTGTAACCAGCGGTTTCCACCTTGTGTTTGTAGGCCTTGACAATGGTACGCCTACTTCTTTCAGAGTGTTCTTGACTTGGTTAGATGTTATCAAGTTGTGTTTCCTTAAAAGTTTTGTCCCTCATCTTGCCAAGAAGAAATTGCCTCTTCTTGAAACGACAGATTTAAATGAAAAGTTGATGCATGACTGCACAAATTTTAGAGCTGTTTCATCCTAGCACTAAGGTGATCACTCAGAGTAGCTTTGTATTGATTTGCTGTGACCTTTATCTTCAAGAAGATAAGTTGGCCTATTGCACGTCAGGAAAATGTTCCTACAGAATGGGAAAAAAAGCTAATTCATCACTTTAAGGCAAAAGGTTTTTTCATTTTTTTTAAATATGCCACATTTCTAACTCAATGTCAAATCTATTGTTAAAAAATTTAGGAAAATAAAGTGTTCTTTAGTATAAGGACAAGTAATAGTCAGTGTCAAAGTTGAATAATTATATGGTAATGTTGTATGTCTTGAGCCAGTGATCATTTCTTTATGTTTTTGCTGTAAGGGAGCCATATTTTTTTGTAATTTTTTTAAAGTGGACTTGAGCAATAGTTCTCCAGGTTTTTTTGAAGGTCTTTCAAAGTTTTTGTTTAGGACATTGTTCGCTTATTCATTGTCTCTGTCGATTTTCAGAGGAATGTTTTTTCTCTCTTTTGTTTAGCCACTTAACACAGACCTCTGAATCATTCAAGCATGAAAAGGTCACCAAACTCAAGAGATGAGCCAGTGTTGTGTCTATACATAACAGATATTTTAAATTCTGTTATTAGGGCCTTTGCTATTAGCTATTTATTAAAAAATGTTTGCACATTTTAAACAAATTGCTGCACCAATGTCACACTTTCCTAGAAACTATAAGAAGGCGAAGGGCAGCTCAAAACTTTCGGATGATACTGGACATTGTGACTGTAATTCGGCTCTAAACTTCCCCAGTTTTCAGTGTTTCTGCAAGTTCAATGAGTAATAGAAAACTAAACTGAAAAATTCCAAACATAAGAGAGCACATAATGCAACTTCTTTAACCTCCTAAGACCCAAACTTTCCCAAAGCATGCATTTTTAATTTCTCTTTGATATTTGGGCATATTGGCACCCGATGAATGTAAAAACAAAGAATTACCAGATTTTTTTTTTAACCTTACTTTTGTTTCTGAGAAAAATGAGAGGCCTATATAAGGATATTTGTTTAAAATTTCGATAGAACAGTGGCAGTAAAATGTCCTCGTAAGTGGAGTAAGGCCCTTGTAGTGTAAAATTGAGTATTTTGATCTAAATAACCCAAAATGTGATGTCCACATATGTGGACGCCAGGTGCTTGGAGGTTAAAGCACTGTTTTAAATTAAAATAAATTCTAAATGCAATGATTTGAAAATAATTAAAATACTCCATGTAATAGAAAACAGGACAAAGATATGATATCAGATTTAAGATATGCACATTTTAATTACTGTCAGCAACACTTTTAATAAAGTTTTTGAGAAGGGCATGTTTCCTGCTGTGTTGAATTGCTTTTATTAAAAATACTCTGTAGAGACGGACTCCTGTAGTTTCTTTTTAAGGCAAAAACTGGCGTATTGCTTCACTTAAAGTCTAGTTTTGTGATAACTTTAGTGAACTTTCTATACAGACCTAGGTACATTATATATGCTTCAGACTGTGTTCACCGCATTGCTAACAGGTCAATAATTTAACTTTCTCTTTTTAGCTCGAGGACCACGGCGGGTAGCCAATCAAATTCCAAATGAAATCCTCCAAGACCCTGAGTTACAGGAGGCAATCAAAGCCCTGCCTGCGAATTACAACTTTGAGATCCACAAGACAGTTTGGCGAGTGAGACAAGCAAAATCTAAGAGAGGTGAGTTTCTGTTACATCCTATTTGTTTTTTTTTAATGTTTTTTTGCATAAGGTTTTAATGGAAACAGAATCTGTAGTTGAATTCCACAATGTTACAATTCTCACATTCAGTCTGAGTACAGCTGTGCCCTCACCCAGATTCACAAATGCCTAAATTGCTTGTGCTATAAGCTTTTAAAATGCACGGCAGGCTTCTGATTTAACTGCTGAAATGGGTCAGAGTTTGGATGAAGTTATTTGGAAGTAAAGGATCTGTAGCTGTCTTTTACACAGCCTGGGATTTCATAAGAGAAACGGTTCTAATATGTAGCCCAAATTATTGGCCAGCGTGAGCAGAAATGATGCTTTTCTTGAACAATATCTGTTCCATATCCTGACACGAGCAACTGTGCGTTGCGCCCTCCTTTATTTTAACTGAAAAATATTTGTTTTATGTCTGTTTCATTTCATTGTCAGCTTAACATACGACTAATATTACCTAAAGGTTTATGAAACAATTCCACAAAGAAGAATTTTCTTTTGCTTTACTGCTGTTTTGAAAGCTTTTAGAACGTGTGGGAAGCAGAGCATTGAACATTTATATACAGAAATACCATGCATGCATGCTTTCATTCAAAATGTTGTCCCTGGGTGCATCTGTGCTTTGACCTAGTTTGAAGACTTTATTGTTCAGTTGTTAACGTGTAAGATTTATACAGGTTTATCCAGTTTGGGACAAGCGAAAAAGGCTCCCTTCATCATCCACAGTTACTGTCATTAAAATCAGCATCAGTGTAGGGAACTGAAGAAAATACATCAACACAAGGTCCGCATGCCTTCAGATGTAATATACATGCTGCTGCATTTAGCTTCTCATGTGTGGGCAGCAGATTCAGGCTGTATTGGTATAAATTATAAAAATTAAGTTGGAACAGCATCCAGCCTATGATCCTAAGTTGGACTGTCTCATTGAGTCTTTTATGGGTGGATGCAATAGCCTCAAAATGACATCAGATATTTGAAGGAAATTCGCAGCAGTGATATTTCTGATGATATAGGAAAAAAATACTGAACAGTGTTATTTTTTTTATCGGTCAGCGCAACCTCGTTTCACAGTCACTTGTATTTATACCTGCTAATAAGGCGCAGGAAGCTGCTACGGTATTCTCTTGAACGCTAGGTGTCACCACTCGGATAATATCGCAACATAAGTGCTGATAGAAGTAATCAAAACTAGAAACCAAGACTTTGAGTGTTTTTTGCAAAGTTTTCAAACTGTTCCATTATCTCCCTTCGGCTGTCTGTATGTTTCTGATATCAATAAAATGGTAGTAAAAACATGATCGTACACTCGTGTCTTCCACCTAGCTGTGGCAGCCATAGTGCAAGGTTACAAAAATCGAAAGCTGCATAATGGCTCCATTACATGACAGTGGTGATGCAGCATAGTCAAATATGAGAACAAAAGTAGCCTAGGTCATGTTTTCCCTGGAAATTTTAAGTAAATGTATAACTGCTTAACACTTCCACAATGACTAAAGTAATTAACTTGTTAGGAGAATGCACAATATTGTCACATCATAAAACTGAGAAATATTTTCTGCCTATGATTTTGTAGCTTTGGTTGAACTTTTTAACCAGTTGCTTAAAGCCCTGCTTTTCCATCATGTAACCAAATCTGTAATCTCCATCCACATTTGCTCTTCCTGTCATATGGAGTAATTTGCAAAGCGCTGTGCTCTGTTGGAGGCTGATGAAGTAGTTCCCTTTTTACTAAGTTTTTATTGGAGGCTGAAACACAGCTCTCGCTCTTAGATGTGTCTTGGTTAGTGTCATTGTCGTGTACTATAGAACATGACACATGGCATTGCTATATCATTGATATCACCTTTATATCATGTAAATATGTATATTACACCTCTGATTTTACTTCTTACTGACCATCTTTACCCTTGATTCTGTTATAAAAGTGTAATGTTGTAAGTCCATGCTAATAAAAGATCTATGCTGTGTGAAAAGTGTTGCTGGGATCAAATATAGGGATTTAAGTTTCTATTAAGAATATGGTTTAAACAACTTGCAAAAAATTACATTGTAGTTTGTTTGCATTTCACCGGGTGTCTGAACTTTTCATAAACAGCAGTTGCAGATACATTCAGTTCTATCAGTGCTTAGTAGGTTAGCAACAAATCTAATGGTAAGGTTTTTAATTTTTGTTTTCCTGAAAATGCAAATTGTGCTTTGTGTGCATTGTACTCTATTCAAATTTAAATGAGTTGGTGCACACAGACAATTTAGAGATTAAGATTGCCAGTCAAAAATGTCAATACTTTTTTCTCTTACATGCTTTCACATACAGACTTGTGTTTTTACCATCATGCATTGCTGCATGTATCGTCTGACTTTTCCCGATGCCAGTTTTTCTAGTGCAGCGGTATAGGAATAATGTGTCAGTATTTGCTTCCAGCCTAAAAAAAAGATCCTTCACTAATATACATGTCAAAATGTGTATTTTTTCTACTCCTTCATGCCTTGGGTAGTAGTATGCAGATGGCATGCCAAGAGGATATAATTTTTTTTTGTCCCCGTGGGGAGTGTTTGTTTTATTGCAGCCTGCTTTCTTTGCTTTTTCTGTTAAGTGACTTCTTTTTATCAGAGCTTCTGTCTCTGAACTGAAAAGGGCATAACTCACCTCATCACCCCCGTCTCTCTTTGTTCCTCTTTGTGTCCATCTGTTTCTTTGTCCTCCTTTGAACTCTGCAGTGGTCTCATAGTGTTCTTTTAAAACTGAGAACTGAGCATCATACCATAAAATTTTATTTTGGTTCCCCAGCCTCTTTTTTTTTTTTTTTAATCTAATCTGTTATGCAATTTTCAGAACATTTTTGTTCTTCAGCAACTTTGGCTGTTGGCTGTCTTCTATCATAATTACATCATACATTCAATGAAAACAAAGGCAAGTGAACAATTTAGTTTTTCAGCAACTTTAACTTCTGCTGTTGCGATTGCATCATCCGTTCACTTAAAATAAAGACACAAAAAGTAATAACAGGTCATATTAACTTGGTGACTTGAGGCAACTATGTCTTTGGTGTTGAGTTTCAAGTATTATATTTATACAATTAAATAGATAAGAATAGTTCATTTTCTAACTTTGGTTAGGAAATGGATTGAAACAGATGATTTATTGCTCAGTATAAATTAACTCCTGTATGTGGATCCTGGTAATTATTTTTGCATTGTGTTAAATGTGATTTTTTTTTTGATGGGGGTAAAATACTAGTTTCCATGTAAATAAACATGTAAAAAAAGCCAGAGATAATTAAATGAGTACATTTGACATTCTTTTTGATGTTTGCGTGAGCTACAAGAATTAAGTGAAGCATTTAACACCATCTTTTAGTTTCTACAGTAATCTTCCATGTTGCAGTTAGAGGCACGCTCAAGCAAAATAGGATAATATCTTAAAGCTAACAATCCTGGTTTCATTGCAGTCATTAATTTTCTAAACTTTAAAATTAGGTTATGAATTAATTTTGAATTATAATCACAAACAATGTTAGCTTCACATTCGGGCTTATGTGGAATTCATGGTACTGTGTTTATGTCTATTTGCATTTACCTACACAGATACAAGGATTATATGCATGTAAATTAGTCCTTCAGAAAGACAACAGCACTTAACCCAACAGGAATTATGCGATGGGCAGTGTAGCAGGTTGAAAACTGGGCCTGGGCAGCAAAAGGAGCATAGGTCACCACCTAAAGAGAGAAATGTAAAAAATCTGATATCCAAGAACGGCGTGAGAAGCTTAGAGACTCCAGCAGACATTTTGCATTGTTTTAACTTGAGCTCTTTGTATGTTTTGCCTGTTGTCTTTTCCGTGGCTGGCTGAAGGACCAACAATTGCAAAAGCGAGATGAGGCCTAAATTCAAAAAGCCTTTAAAATTCTTTTTGTACATCTCTGTCCACCTTTTTCTACATTCTCCATGAAAGTTGTTGGGTAGTAGTGATTGAAGTCAATAGTGAGCATTTGTATTTCTTTATCTATGAAGATGGGCAACTATAAAACACATTATTAGGTGTCAATGATCAGAAACTCCTTAAAGCACCAGCATTGGTCGCTTTGTGCACTGTTGCAACATCATAACGCAGTCACTTATATTAATGTCTGCTTTAATATAACTTTTAACTTGATTTTCCAAGCTTGTGTATTGCGAAATTAAATCACATCATTATACAGCAGTGATCTGTGCTACGGCTCAATAAAAAGGTTAAGTTTTTTTTATTGTTTGCAAATACAAACACTTAATACTTTATGGAAAAAAAACCCCACTTTTGAACAAAAGTTTGCAAACAAACTACATTAACTGAGCTGCAATAGTGATGTGAGAATGTATTGAGAGTGAAACAGCGGAAAATTGAGGCTTGGAGGTCTCTTTGCAGCCTTGAGGGTATAAACATAAAGGTACAGGACAATTCAGGGCCTTCTTAACCACGCCTAGGCAAAAGATTAATCAAAAAGAGGATTTTTAACTTGATGATTTGGTATTTGCTTTCCAAACCTAAACTGGACCTGGTTCAACAGGAGTGGGGCCTGATAGCTGAAGCAGTCACCTCTTATTGTACTACTGAAAACTCCAATGCAATAATATGGATCAATGAAGACTTTCTGGCCTGGTTTTTTAAAGAAGAAGCAAAGAAACTAGAAAGAAATAGCAGAAATATGATTCATCTTTCTATGTAGTTTCTTTTAGTACTCCAGCTGCAGCATTTTTGGATTAATTAGAGGCCACTCAAATAGCTTTTGGTCATCATTAGAACAAGGAATTACAGTAGTTCAGACTAGAAAAGAAGAATAATTTCACAAGATGCTCCCAGAATTCACAATGTTGCAGGAATAAAAAGTCTAAAGAGTAACCCTTTGGGTCACAGCAACTTATTTTGTCATTTTTGGCTGTAAAATTGCACAAAAATTCTCATCTTTTAGGAGTATAAATTTTCTCTCGAGCCAAGAGTCTGTCATCTGACAAGGGATTTAAAAAGAGTTATTTGAAATAAATCATTTCAGTGTAAGGAAGTCATCTAAAAGTGGTGTACATTTCAAATAACTGACAATTTGTCCAGGGCGTTTTGATGAGAGGAAAAGTCTCAGAAACATCCAAAATTTAATCAGTGGATCTGCAGGTATGCTTGGAACCGTTGTTGTCACAGTGGATGAGCCCATAATCATAAAGAGATTTTGCCTGTTAAATTCAAGGCATACCGGGAAATAGAAAAGCTGCTGGACATTTATATAAAACACCAGCATGAATCCATTTGTGCTGGAAGTGACTTTGGAGGATAAAGATATTCTTTTTTACTTGATCTGTTGATATCATTGTTGAATTAATGACTAAATCAGATATTTATATTTGTTACTGTTTGGTCCAGATATTTTGAAGTAGACAACAATATCAAGGTGATATACTTATTTTTTGTGACTGTAGGCAAGTTCATTTCTAGAGAATTATTTTGCAATTAAATTTTTGTTTAAAAGTTTTTTTTTAATTCCTTCCCCAATTAAAAATGTTTTTTTTTTTATACTAAATACAAAATAAATGCCAACTTAAAAAGTACAAGATGTCCATTCCTTTTGTCTGAACAGTTTTTGCCTTTATTGAAGGGATGACACAGAGTTCTCACACAGTAGAATTGTGCTCATTGTGTTCAAATTCAATGTCTCTTTCTGTCTTCCATTTACTCTTCACACACTTAGACAATTCACACACCTATTACACTGTAGGTATAAATGAATCTGGGGAATTCCCAGCAAAATAAACCATTCTGCTACTACAACTCCAGTGGTGTCTCACTACAATAAAGCAGCAGTAAAATATAAGCAGTCTTAAGAGTTGCACTTTAAATACAGTTTACATAAATTTAATGACTTTACAGCTCTCAATAGTACAAGAAATTACAGCTTTAATAAATCTGAAACCATATCATTTGCTGAGGACCATGCCATTGTGCCCAAGGTTCTGGTTAACAGTACTCCGTCTTACAATGTAGCTGCTTGGGTTGTCATGGTAAACTGGTAATATCTGCTAAATTAACACTGCTTAGCTAGTCAAAGTGAAAACCAAGATGCTCTCTGTGGGCTGGGGTTGTAGCACAAACTTAAATTAATTGTTTATTGTGAAGAATAGCTGCTCAAATTATGACAAACCTTATACCCACATACACCCACATAGTTAGTCATTCCCTCATCATCAATCATCAATGGAAGACACTCTTAGTACTGCTGACCACTGCGTTAATGGCAGCGCCAATAGAGGGCAGATCACACAAATCAGTCACCAGATTAATCACTTGCTATGTATATACTATTAGTCAACAACATTTTTTTATGCTTAATCTAAGCTTTACATACCTCAGCTTAATCTAAGATATGTAAAACTGTACCAGTAAAAGTGCTATTTCAATATGAAGTGGGCAAGTCAGATGTGTTATAAAAACTCATGACAAAACTTTATTTTGTTTCCTATTTTTAATACTACTCATCTTGGAATTTAACATTATACTGTACAGATAGAAACACAGGGACATCTCATATAATCACATGTATACAACATGTTTTTTTTTATGGGATAAACCCAGTCTATGGTGTGTTTTTATCCTTCTGGTCAGGTCTGTCGTTGTGAAAACTTCATGTAATCTTTGGCTTTGTTCATTCTCTCTGCCATCCACTGATAAATTGGTCTTTCCAGCACTTTCGCAGTTTGCCTCCTTCTTTTGATTGTTAACATAATCCCACGTGTAGCTTTTTAGTTACCTGTGCAGCCATTAGTGTTGCAACAATAGGTATACAAAATTAGATGATTGTTGATTGACATTTCACTCATAAAGGGGATGTTTACTTTCTTTCCTATTGAGAAAGTTAAGAAAGGGGCATGTATATATGAACTGCATTTTTATTTAGCCCTGTAATATACTTATTTGATCGCTTATATTGGCCATATGGTTGGGTTGTTACTCTTATTTGGTCAAGAATGTCCAAACGAGAGCAAGAGGGAAGTGGCAGGATCTTTATGTAACACAACAACATGCATTCACACAGCCTAACACACCTCTTCTATCTGACTCACCTTTCATTTGATGGAGTAGATGGAGAAAGCTCTTCGTTTCTGTCAGCTGTGGCAGAGGTGTGGTCTGAAACCTTTCTCTGTTAATAAACTTGGCCTTTCCTGGGTAATGACCTGCCTCTCACAGCCTGCATGACACTTGGTGATCCCTTAACCTTTCATCAGCAAGAACTTCTCTGACTCTTTCTCCTTAGAACTGCTCTATCTATCACTCCATCTCATGACTATTCACTTTCAGCCTCCTCAGTCTTTTATTTGTCCCAGCTTTTATTGTTTAATGCCGTCACTGGCGCCGAAGTCTTGAAATGGTTTCAGGGCTAGTCATCTGAAAACATTTCTACACTGAATTCAAGGTCTTCGAGTTGTAATTCTCCACTGAGACATTGATGGATTTATTGAACTAAGGTGTGACAGAGTTTGACGGGAAGAAAATGTCACGGTTGATTGAAATAACGCCTTTGTTCCCAGATACTCGCTCAGTGTGTCAGACTTGGTGGCAGAGACTTCACACTGAACTGTTGAAGTCTTGTGCCTGCATGTCTGCAATATTAACTTCCACAAAAGGTATAAATAAAAAAGAAAACAACTGACAGGAGATATTGCTAGTATACAAACAGTGTAGACTAATATAATCCCAAACAGCAAACTACTGTAGCCAACACCTGTGTTTCAGAATTTTCAGACAGACAAATACACACACAAAAAAAAATCCTTTGTTACCATCACAGGTACACATTTTTCCTGATTTTTAGAATATCTATACGCAAGTCAAGTCTTTCAGCATCACAGTCAGCCTTTGCTGTAATAGAAATAGAAAATTGGTTTCCAAGCATCTTGATAACAGATTAAATGTTTGCATCCTTTATCCAGACAAACTGTCGGCTTCTCAACTCATTTTTTTTTTAAATCACTGAAAATCGTTTCTCTTTGAGTTTGCTTCTGCTGATGTCAGCATGTTAGCTTTTTTTGCTTTGTGAGGAAATGATAGGATTAATGTAACTGGAACATCATTGGATTCTTAGTGAATTATGTAGGAAACGTACTGCAAAAACACCACAGCCTGTTTGTCAAGAAATCCCAGTTTCAATTTGTAGTTACTTTGTTTTCCAAGTAAATCCAAGTATATTTGCCCTGTAACCAGTAATCTCAGTCCACAACTGTTTCTAATATAGCTGGCAAGTGGCTGGGATATATTTTGAATATAAATGTTGTGTTGTTGAAAACAAAATGATAAGAATTTGTATATTGGTGTCATTGTTTTTAACATTAAAAAAATGTCACAAAAACAGATACAATTGACATTTTATTGATTTTTATGCTTTTGCTTCTTAGGTTTGGTATATTTCTAGTTTAAAAGCTTACAAAATGTTCATTTAAGCTAATTTATTTCAGTCCCCTTTGGACTTGTGTCTAGTATGATGTCCAGTCATCATTATTGAGAAAACAAAAAAACACTTCAAATTTCCTTGTCTATGACAGAGTACATTTAATAAAAGTGTCTGCTTTCTAGTGGCTAAGAATCTCTTATATAACACTGATTTCTCTTATTTTTTTTTTTAAATGAATATGCATGAACGTGTTTCATTTCACTGATTGCAGCCAGAGAGCAGTTTAAGAAGAGGGGAGAAAAAAAAGCCCAGAGATTGAAATGAGACACTAGGCACTTTGGTAAATGTTGCCCTATCATCTCAGGTGGTGTAGCATATCAGTAGAGGTATCGGTGCAAATTAACTGATTCATTTTATCTTCAGTGCTCGCAAGTGCAAGTGTTTTGCTCGCATTTGGGAATAAATTTAATGTGTGCAAACAAATACTCGACTTAAAAGTATTAAAAAAAAATTAAACTCCACCAGTCTTTCTCTCTCTCTTTTTAAAAAAAAGAAATGGTTAAAAACACAAAAACAATTTGCCGATCATTTGTGTCATAAGTTTCCCCTTTATATATGTCAGCCTTCAAACTCATACACATATTTGCAGACAGCAAATACACAGGATTGTGGCATAGACAGTGAATCCAAGTAAGGAATGCAGGTGAACATAAAGATATTGTTTTGCTGGGGTAAAAAAACAACCTCAGGCTGTGTAAAAATGAGAGCCTTTGTAAGTAAAAAAGCCTTAAAAAGAGTTATTTATCACAACACCTGTTCAAGCATCAACCTGTAGAAAAGTGATTTTTCTTTTCTTCAACCAGTCATATCCACCCACCTTGTGGGGGAAAAAAAAAGAAAAGATGTAGGAGCAGGCCTTGAGCTGCAGAGACAGACCTGGGGTTATTGGTTTGGACTATATTTCCAACAACCTGTCACCCACAAAAATAAACCAAGAGCACTACTGTGGAGAGAGGACAAATCCTATGAAATGTCACTGTTTGCTGTCAGTGGAGCACTCTGAACCAGAAGCAGCAGCTATGTATAGCTGTACAGTTGAGAAAGTATCAAATAACATCTTGTCATCCCTCTAATGCAAGCATGTAACTTTTCTATTTGTTTTCTTTCTCCGGTCTCTCTCCAGTTGCTTTGCAGCTTCCAGAGGGCCTGCAAATGTTTGCCTGCATCATCAGTGACATCATTGAACGGTAAGCCGCATTTAAAAAAATAAAAAAATAAAATGATTTCATACTTGCTTGAAAGATAATTTCAATCTCAGACTTCCCACCCATGTGTTGTGTTGTGGTTTTAAAAGCCATTCTAACTTTGCACTGTTATAATTTGCACTTGTTTGCCCCATGCAACTACTTTCTGTGTTCACCTTTCTGTCAGATTTGAGAACAAATTTAGATGGATTTGTTTGGAAAGCTGCAGTTAGCTTATTTAAAGCCTAAAGTTAGCTCAATAGGTTTTGGGGAATAAATACCTAAATTGTGCTTCGATAAACCATCACAGTAGACTTGAAATGGAATAATCAAGATGGTAGAATTTCAGTTAGCCATTGCTTTTTTTTTTGTCTATAATTTGTCCTATTTCGTAGATGGTGGACCATATAAACATGACTATAATTGTAGTTTATGTGGTGGAGAAAGGTCAAAGTCTCCACTTCAGTCATACTGTATCGTGTTTGATACAGAGGCAAAACAACAAGTGTCGTTGTCAAAGTACTTATGCACCAGTGTGTAGATGTTCACACTCTGTTTTGTGTGATTCCTCTACATCAAAGTTTTAGAATGCAAAGTTAGCACAGCATCGAGGTCCACTGTAACCACTTCATAAGAAAATATCCATACATTCTCTTCCACTTACAGCTGGTGTAGAAACCAGCATCATGACCACTTGGTATTGGAGAGCAACAGCCTTATCATAATTCCCCACCTTTGACTCAATCAGAGATTCTAAGGCATTACTCAGGTTTAGGACAGAGCAGATAACAGCCTCCCTTGCTCATAGCCCACAGCGGAGGAGGGAAGCGATATTATTCTTGTTAATTACAGTGCGTTTCAGCCTGCATATTCCCTATTACACACCAGCACTCAATCACACAGACACCACAACTTTTTTCCCCCCTCCATCCCACAGTGAGCAGTGCTTAAGCAATAATGTCCACTAGACCTAATAGTTTGTCTTTGAAGCTACCCTGTGGTTTACCCTGCTCTCTGCTAAATAAAATTGGTTATTCAATGTTTAGGAAAACACAAATCATAAAGCACACTCAAGTGAGAGCACTGCTTTGGAATTTGTTAGTATAAGTGTCTTCTTTAAGAAAATGACTGTTATGATTAAACACCCGGAGTGGATTCCTTTCATATGTGTTTAGCCAGTGGCAGCTTCATTATGTGATGGGCAAGATAAAGAATAGTTGTAGGATTTACCATAAATTTTTCAGGCAGGGTGCACCATTATTATGGTTTTCATAATTAGACATACTTTATATTATTATTGCAAAAAACTCTTTGCTAAAATGTGTTTCTGCTTTACGTCGTTTCCATTTTCTGTTCTGACACCATCATTTTTGTTCATCATTTCTCCTGCTGTATCATTCTCCCTCTATCCAGACTCTGGCTTTATCTTTCTGTCATTCTCTTTACAGACATTTCTTACTTTTTTATCACAAGAAAGATGATAGTGAAGTTTTGATGATAGGATCTGATCTTATCAGTCGTATTGCTATCAGACTGAGAGCTGCTACTGTGTGCTTCATGAAATTTAAACCACACAGCTATATAGTCCACAGTTATATGTTCAAGTTATGACTGTTCATCATAAATCTACCAAATCGGCCACATCTCTTCTAATGAGAGCAATTAGAAGACACTAATTGCTTTTTCTCGCTGTCTTCTACCTCGTTCTCTATCTCTTGTGTCTGTGTATTTTTCACCCCCTCCTCACCATCCACATTTGTCTTCCAGGCTGCAGAGTACAACATGGTTCTCACGGTTTTCCTTCATTAGGTTCTGCGCTATAGTTTCCCTGCCTCCAGAGACTTTTTCTTCTATCTCTGCTGTCTTAGTAGGAATTTCAGCTCCATACTTTCCAGATTTAACAGATGGGTTCTTTGATTACTGGATGAACATCAGAGCCTGTTCAAAGTACTGAGTATCTGCCATCTTTCCAACAGATTGACAAGTTGACAAGTATCATTTGAGTGCATCGACTTATTTTGACATAGTCTTCTCTGCAAAATCTTAAAAAAAACAAAACGCTCTCAACAATGCTCATCCATGTTAGTCACAAGGAGCCCAAAAATGCGGTTTTGTCTTAGGTTTCAACGTTATTGCAGTTTGACTTCTATTTTTTTTGGCCATTATTTGTAGTGGTCAGGTACTACAAGTCTACAAATTCCTCTGGTGCACATGCCGGACATGCCGTTAATGTCACATTGCAATGAGTTTACATTTACATTTCACATTTCTTCTTCTGTCAGGTAGAGTAAATATGATGGATATCTTCATATTTACAAAACTCGGGTTAAATGTTCGCTTATGTTGAGAATGATGACCAGAATTCATAAAAAGTTGTGAAGAATAGGTACTGTTTTGTTTTGTTTTGTTTTTTTAACTCTGACTTTTTTAATATCTCATCTCACCCTGAGAGGCAGGGCTTAGCTGTGGCTGACTCATAAGTACAGGGTCACCATGAATCTGTCAGTTTTTCTATGTCTAAATAGGAAACTGGTGATTCCCAGAAGTCATTTAATAGCACACAAGAAGTCCACTTCCCTATATAGTGATATCCTGATCTGGCTGACTGAGAATCTTCTTAGACACACTTTGTTTTAATTATGTGATAGCCACTAGGCTTTTTGGATCAAACAATTAATCTAGGAACCGTCATCTGGGGGCTCCTTAGGGTATAATCTTTGATCCTGGTGTGTCGATACTCTGTATAGTAATTGGAGCATTTGTAAGGTGGCCATGGTTTAACTCTTTTTTACTGCTGCAACAACCTTGTGCCCAGCAATTACGTACAGTCACGATAAAGGTCTTAAAATTGCAATATAACCCGAAATCCCTCTATAGCAATTACAATTCGGGACAAATGTTTTATTGATCGGAATTCTGCAAATCACCATAAGCATCCTAAGATGAATCTAGGACAAAATTAGATGAATGACAAGAACCTTTAGAAGTTTGCACAGCTTGCAGCTGACCTCATGTCACACAGATTATGCTAAAGGCTACCAGAGGTCTCACAGGGCAGCTTTGCCATCACCATCACTATCACCCCTGTACTCGTGAGACGGGGCTGAGGTCCATATGAAAATGGGGATGAAAGGCCTAAGCTGCCCTCAGAGTAAGAAGCTTCAGCTGGATGGACTGCTAAGTCTTAATGAGGACAAGCTGCTCTGAATTATGGCCATTCCCATGGCACAGTTAATAGACTTCGGCCAAAACTGTATTAATGCATACTTTTAGCTTGCCCCACTGTGACTGTAAAAGAGTAGCATGACAATTCATAGATGGATGGATGGATGGATGGATGGATGGATGGATAGATAGACATAGCACTACAGACTACAGTGTCTAAAACACCTTAAAAATATTGCTATATTACATGTTTCTGAATGGTTCAAAAGAATTAAAGCCCAACAGTCAACAAATCAGAGACAATAGTGAATGAATAGAACTTAGATGAGATCTGTACCTAGAAATGTTAATGAATGAATGACTCACTGCTCTCTGATAGAGTTAACAGATCAGCCAGTCTCATATGTACCATGAACAGTGGTGTAATTTCCACTGGGGATTGGTGGGCATATCCGTCTTAATGTTCAGAATGGTATTTTTGTCCCTCCTCCAACGTTTAGAGTTTCCGTTTGGCTCTAGTATTAAAATCTATTTAAACATTATCCTCTTACTGTCCAGCTGCCAAAATGATACTCTGAGTGGTTAATGTGACTCATGCAAGTCACCTTCAGTGTTATTATGCACTCGAGGAAATTAACCTTTCCTTGAGTACCAAGTCATTTGTGAACTTTAACTGCCCTAGGTTTCACCTAAGGCATTATGCAAGGTGAGATAGACTATATATTGGCACATTGTCTTTGGCGTAGGATCTTGGAGTTGTAATCAACCTAAGAGGAAACCAGCTTGTACTATTCAGGGCTGAAAACTGTTGTTCCCTCATGTGCATTTTGTAATGTAATTTATTCAGAACATCTTAAAAGGTGGTGTTAGAAAATTAAAAGGTCTTTGTACATATACAGATATTATTTATATTAGTTATTTGCTAATATATTGATATTGACATGTATGATGACCAATAAATGAAAATATTAAAAATAAAGAAGAGATCTTAGAAACACCCTTCAGCTATGTTACAAGTACTGATATTGCATAGTTTGTTCACTATAGGGCAGTCTGCATACCTGTTGGCAGCGTGTATTTGGAACGTCACCAACACAACAACCAGTGGAGCAGAGCATAAACGAGTAATTAACAACTCATTGTGACCTTAAAACACATAACTTTTAAACCACATTGGAATATTATCTCAGTAAGGACTCATAAATGACTTCACATGACAAATATTAGGGAAGTCTGTTTTAAAGTTTTGTGTGTCTGAAAGAAAAGAGAATATGGGCTTATATATTAGATTTTTAAATCATTATATACAGGGAGTGCAGAATTATTAGGCAAATGAGTATTTTGTCCACATCATCCTCTTCATGCATGTTGTTTTACTCCAAGCTGTATCGCCTACTAAAGCCTACTACCAATTAAGCATATTAGGTGCATCTCTGTAATGAGAAGGGGTGTGGTCTAATGACATCAACACCCTATATCAGGTGTGCATAATTATTAGGCAACGTCCTTTCCTTTGGCAAAACGGGTCAAAAGAAGGACTTGACAGGCTCAGAAAAGTCAAAAATAGTGAGATATCTTGCAGAGGGATGCAGCAGTCTCAAAATTGCAAAGCTTCTGAAGCGTGATCATCGAACAATCAAGCGTTTCATTCAAAATAGTCAACAGGGTCGCAAGAAGCGGGTGGAAAAACCAAGGCGCCAAATAACTGCCCATGAACTGAGAAAAGTCAAGTGTGCAGCTGCCAAGATGCCACTTGCCACCAGTTTGGCCATATTTCAGAGCTGCAACATCACTGGAGTGCCCAAAAGCACAAGGTGTGCAATACTCAGAGACATGGC